AAATGTTAGGAAGGTATTGATTTTTTTTCAAAATTTTATGAAAAATTAACTTTTGAAAAAAAATGTCATTAGAAATTAATGGGGTGGCATGTGGTGCTGAAAAGGGGATTGTTTGTAGTACCCATTATATCCCTCAGGTACCTTTTCAGCCCTTGGCATTGTCAGGTGTTGCTCTCAGTTGGATCCAGCCATAGCATTCAGATGAGAAAATCTCACCAAGACACACCAAAACAAATTACTAAACTTCCCACCACCACAAGATGAAAATACAGTATGAGAGGAAGTTATTATCTATTGTTTTTTTACATTTAATTTTTGTACTAGTTTAAAATAAAATATGCTGACTTAATGACAGTGGTATAATATGAAATAATTGTCCATGTAGATTTTTGAAATCTATGTTTTAAGAATTTTGATAGTATTATAAAACTGGGAGAATTGGGACAAGGAAGATTAAATAGAAGAAAAAGTAACACTGAAGATGTGCTAAAAAGCAGTGTATTTCATTAAAATGCATTTAATGTTTAATATAGTGTTAAACATTCTAAAATAGATAAAGATGAGGTGTATTCAGAGAAGGTTAGAGACCTGCTCTATTAAGCAACAATATATAATTAAATTTTGTGATTAATATCATATGCATTCACAATATTGAAACACGGATATAAAAATTTTAGTTTTAAATTATTTCTATAAAAGTATGGAATTAGATAGAGTTAATTTCACATTTTTTCCAGGATATTCTTTTATTTTGGTAAATAAAAAAAGCTGATGTAAAAGCAAACACTGCTTCTAAAGACAGTAAAATTAATTTTAAATGTATGATTTTTTGTGTATTTTTAAAGTTTGAGTGAAATTTAGAAAAAGAAACCTCATCTCATTTGTATGAGATGTATTCCAAAACAAGGGCTAAATGGTCATAAAAACAACAGAAACACTGTCAAAATTTATTAATGGTTATAAACACATATGTAACCTCTTCATTTTTCTACATAGTCACCATTTTTTTTAAGCACATTTGAAAAAAGTTTCTTTATGCTCCTGCATAAAATTCAACCACTTCAATACTGCCATTTACATCTCCTCACTTTCTTCAAATTGTTGAGATGCAAGTCCCTTCTTTAAGTGCATGAAGAAGTGATAGTCACTGGAAGAAAGTCAGAACTGTAAAGGGCATCCCCCTTTACAGTCCTGACTTTCTTCAGTTTCCATCTGAATTGCTGAAGCATCTGAACGGTAATGGCAATAGTGTGAGAGCACACATTGTTGTGCAGGAGAACAATTCCTGACATCAACATTCCACAACATCAGTTCTGAATGGCATATTTCAGTTTAGTAAGTATTTTATAATAAACCTTCTCTGTGATTGCTGTTCCAGTTTCATGCCTTCTTTTTGCTCCAGAACACATTTGCCATAATCTTTCAGGCAGATCAACTTTGCTTGAACTGTTTTGCCTTTGGTTAATTTGAATGACACCACTGCATGGATTGTTGTTTGTCTTCAAAATTGGTTTCATTACCATTCACAATATGGGGAAAAATGTGTCTTCCTTTTTTTATAGCAGTCCAAAAATGAACATACAGATATCATTATGTGCTTTTTCTAAATGTCTTTCAACATTGTCAGTGCATGTCTACATATGGTTTGTTTATGATAGCCTGAGGTTTCAGTAACAATTCAGAACAATGTTTTCCATGAAATATCTGGAAAACCCATGGCAAGAGCACTAATTGTGAAGCACCAATTTTCTCACTCTTTGGCATTCGCACATGCAACAACATTGTTAGTCTGAACTCTAGACCTGTTTATTGTAAACATTTGTACAAGTATAGCCTCATGATACCATTTTTTTACTTTTTCTGTGCTCATTACTGTGGGACCATAAATTTCACATAATGACTTTATGAATCAATAAAAATAAAAACCATTCAACTATCCAGCAAAATTCTTTAATAATTTAAAAACGTTTTCAAATGCATTAAGTGTTCATCATCAGTTATTTCTCTAATTCAAAATGTGAAATTCGAAAAATTACGCAACGGAAATTTCAAATAACAGTTATGTAAAAAATTAAAAGGTAACGTGTGACTTTATGAATTGGCTACTGTGAATTTTGGAAGCACAATGTGCTTCTGCTTGCAGAAGTTGACTCACAGACCATGCTTCACAACTGGTGGGATTGTTGATTCTTCACAGCCATCATTAGGCACTGTAACAAAAAAACAACTGATAGCAGACTGGTGAAAGTTTGGCCACTCCGAAACCGATAATACCAGTTAATGCTACTGTTCAAATGCATTCCAACAGTCGTTGTCAGTCAATTTTTATAATAATTTGGCCTTGTTTTTGGAATATGTTTTATAAATTTTGCTTTCAACTGATTCACTAATTGCTAAATTTTGAAAGGATTATATAAAAGGCACAATTTATTGTGCACTATAATTAGCTAATTGTAGAAATATAGCAACTGCACTGAAGAAAGTCCATCTGTTTTGGCAAAAACTTGGCTAATTGTAGTCACAGGGAAGCTATAGTGGGATCTGGGGATGATACTCCCAGGAAAATGAGGCTCTTGGAGTGACAGCCATGGGAAAAACTTTTTAATTTAGAAATATTTGGGTGAAACTTTTTAAAGGAAAAAGTACTGGACAAAATGATTGAATGACTACAGAAAATTTATTTATGCTTAATGTACTTAAATTTTAAATCTTAAAATGTCTTATTAGAGAGTGAATGAATTAAATTATTCACCATTCACTTTCTGAGGAATTTTAGGATGAACCAATATCTAATTTCACTCTGGCATGCATGATACCAGGCTGCTAACTTAGACTTTTAGGTAATACTAACATTCATTTTTAGATAATGGGGCAGATTTCAAATTATGCAGCTAGCTATTAGGCAATTCAGTCAATAAAGCGAGTAAATTAAAGTTTCAGTGATACCTCGGTTTTCGTTGATAATTCATCCGAATACAATCGGCAAAATTTGAAACTGATGAAAACTGAGGCAATTATTTCCGTATGAATCAATCTAAATCTAATTTGTTCTAGACACTCCAAAATACATACCAAAAACATATTTTATAGAAAATAAATATAGTGTTTAATACTAAAAACAATAAGAAATTAATATAAAATGAATGTAAAAGACTAATGTAAAGAATAAATAAACGTTTAACATGGCCTTTCCGATGATGAAGCTGAAAGGAAAGCAATGGAATTGGACATATTCAAAATCTCAGCATCAATCCGGTGAGATGCTGCTGGAAGTGATGCAATGGTTAGTGTTTTCTAGCAATGAAATCCGGTGAAATGCTGCTGCCAGTAATGTCAGGAGAGAAAAACAATAAAAATAGAGAATGATGATGACTTCCATGTTACGTTAAATTTATTTTTAAACTTACTTAATGAGAAAGCTTAATGAAAAATTAATATTCCGAAAAGAGAAATAGGGATGAAGATTTTTTTAAATTTCTGTAGGAGTTTAAATAATTAAATCAATCCTAAGATTACACTTTAACAACTAAAAAAAATTATGTGATGCCCTACATAAATATACTAGTATATTAAAATGTTCTCATAATATAATTAATATAAGAATATTTTTTAAAAGTTATTGTTAATACATAAAGTAAAACTTAATTTTTCAGTATTAATTAATACTGTATATATAAAATTAAACTTTTTAGACTTAAATGTTTGAGAATTCAAACATTTCAAAGCATTTCACGTTGGAATAGAATTGTAATGCAACTTTTTATTACTTTATTTATAGAAAGATAACAGAATTTAATATTTAAAAAAATCTTAAGCATACATTAGAAATAACTTCTATAATATAATATATGGTATAATGTAATTTTAAAAAATGCATAGAAATTAAGAAAATAATGAAAATTGTATAGTTAAGAATTCAAATTATAAATTAAAATTTAACTGATTTATATAATAAGTTGTAGAATGTTCACAAAATTTGCCAAAGAAATAAAAAGATTGTATACATATTTCATTTTTAATATTTAAAAAGGTAAATGATAAAACAAAAAATTTACTGAATTACTGTTATAAATGATATTATAAATAACATCAATAGTATTATATTCCAAATTGTTCATAAAATACTCATTATAATATATAATCAATAAGTTTTAACAAAAATAACTTATTGAAAACGTAAATATATTTTTTTTTTTTGTTAAATAGATATTTAATACTGACTTGTTTAGTGTTTTATCCAAGTTTGTTCATATTTTAATACAATTCATTTATATATTAATTATTTTTTGCTTTCAGATAAATAGTGATAACACATGAACTTACTAAAACTCATTTAGATATGTCAAAAGTTAATTAATTTAATATCTATTGCTTAATTATTTTATATATTTACATATTTTATTAGTAGACAAATATATGTTTTGATTCTTTTAATGGAGTTATTTAATTGCTACTGACCTCTTATGATGATTGGTATAATTGACCCATAATTTGAGGTACATTTTTTTCAAAGTTTTTACTTATTATTAATTGCTGCAAATGCTTAATTATAATTGTATTATTACATAATTTCATTATTTATATGCATATTTAAAATTATTTTTAATAATTACCAGTTATATTTTGTTCTGCACTTAATTATGCAAGCACAAATATTTTCTATTAAAACACTTTCTTTGATATATTGCTTGCTAATTGCTTTTACATATTTTGTTGCAAAATACATTACATAAATCTACATTGATTTTTAAATTGATATATAATTTATTTATATTAAGCAAATTTTTAAGCATGCAATTGTTTTCTTTATTCTGTTGTATATAGAGTAAGTTGTGTTGATTACTTTACATTTTATTTTTTGATTTTTATGATCACAAATAGTACACTTTCATGTAGAACGTATCAAAACCTAATTTTATTATGTATCTATCATTCTCATAGTATTTTTTACATTCAATAATTATGCTTGTAGATGAAATTATAGCGTTCTCATTAATTGCATGAATATTATATATATTTATTAAAATGTCTTTGTTAAAGCTTAATATCTGTATGATTAATGCAATTTTCAGCACCATATTTTGCTTTACAACAACACAAACAGTTATAAATGTATATTTAATATATATTTCTAATTTTTGTACAGTATGTGCCAAGCAATATTGATATCTATTCCTATTGCTTAAATAGCTTTATTTTTTATTTATGCATGGCTAAAAAGAAGTTATTATTAAATTTTGTTTGACTACAAAGAATAAGATTTCAGGTATTTGGCAGACTTATCCTTTCCCACTAATATTTGTCTTTGCTAACATTCTAGAAAGTTTTATGCCAGAGCAGCAGACCGCTGCAGGCAAGACGACAACTGAAGATTCTGTACTTCCCTCCCCTTCCAAAGATTCTCCTATCCAAGCAAAAACTGTTGGTCTTGATGAATCTTCTCATTCTGTATTACTTCCATCCTTTGGCATGGATGACGAAAAATCTTCCTCAAATGAAATCAAAGCAAAAATTACTTCAGAACAGGTTCATGATTCAGAATTTATTTCAAAATCTTCTAGTGAGTCTGTGTTCAAAGACTCAGCTCAGAAAGATGAATTACATATAGATGATTCTAAGTTAGCAGATGAAGATGATGATGATGATATTAATTTGTTCAAGGATAAAGATGAATATGAAATGACTGTTAATTTATCTGTAAAAGTTCAGCAGCAAATAAAATCACAAATATTGAATGAAGAATTAGATCAATCTATTGAAGAAAATCCACCTGAAGAAAAAGTATTAGGTATTAGTAATATTCCAGATTTTGATCATGAAGAAAAAGTAGCACAGCAAATAAGAACAACAATATTATCACAGGAATTAGAAGCAGATATTGAAAGTGCTTCTCCAGAACAGAAAGAATTTCCTGTTCACAGTGCTGCAGTTGAAAGTGGATTTAATATTGAAACTTTAAAAACATCTGACTATCTATTACAAAATGCTCTTCAACAAGAAACAGAACAAATTACATGGGAAACACCTATTCAAGAAGAAACTGAAACTGTATTGCATGAGGAAGTTAAAGAAATTCCAAGAGAAAAACAATTGATTGTAGAACATGATGAGGAAGTTATATCTGAAGGAGATGATGCTATGAAGGATACACAGAACAGCGATTCTATTTGTCCTACTTCAGAGAGTTCTATTTCAGAAAAAGATAAATTTAAACCCTCATCATTAGAACAAGTATCATCAGAAATATCTGATGAAGATCTTGTTGAAAGAGATCATTCATCTTCAGAACTAGAAACTAAACCAATAAATATTTTAAAAGAAGAAATGGATTTAATGAAAAAAGAACTTTTGGAAGAAAAAACTAAAAAGGAATTAACATCAGAAGATTTATATAAAAGTTCAGAAACTCAGCTTCAAGATGAAACACCTACAGATAAAAAAAGTGATATTTTAGAATCTGATCAAATGAAAACAGAACATGAAAGTCATACTGATTCATACACATCAGAAAGTTCTGATTATACACACAGAGAAACTGAGGTAAATAGTTCTGGAGCAATATCTGAAGATTCACATTATAAAGATAGGCAAGATTCTTCAGAAATATCAGATAGGGAAAGTAGTCAACCTCTCTTTGTTACTGCTGAAACCTTATATACAACTGATGGCAGGGAAGATAAAAGAAGTGATTCAGAACCTTCAGATGGAGTCAAGGATCCTAGTAATATTGTTTTAAGACAAAAATCAGCATCTAAAAAAGATAAACAAGGAGGACAAGAGATGGAATCATGGTCTAGTTCTGGTGAAACTGAAAGTCATTATTATTCTTTTGAAACTTCAGAAAGTGGGAAAACATCTAGAGACACTCCTGCTATTAGTAGGCCATGTTCTTCTGAATTTGAAGTTACAATTGTAAGTGGTCAGCCATCTTCTGAATATGAAACATGTGTCACATCCCAGGAAACTTCCATTGGAGTATCTGAATCTTATACAACTGCAGTAACATCCCAAGAAACATCTTATTCTACTGCTTGCTCATCTCTCAGTCATAGTTCAAGAGAATCAGCATATTCAGTTGATTCTGAAAGTTCTGGACACTTAGCAAGTTTGGAATTATCTTCAGAAACCAGTGAAACACTCGTTCCTTCTGCACAAGAAATAGAAATGGATCTAGTGCAAGAAATAGATACACCAGTTTTAGAAGAAGAAATTGCTGCCCAGGCTGGATTTAAAGAACCATATGATTCAGAAATTCCGGAATGCATAATCAGGGAAGGAGTGGAAGTTCCTTTTCTCAAAGATTGGTCTTTACAAGCAAATGAAAGTGATATATCTTCAGCAAAAGAATGGATTTGGCCTTGTGAAAGAGACATACAGATGGTCATGAGTCCTTTTGAAATAATTACAAATGATGATTTAGCAGAATGTTTACAGGATCAAGCTGCTCAAGAGCCTTTATCTGATTCTGATAAAGGTTTATATGATGTACAATCAAAAGAAACAATTCAAATAGATTCGTTAGAAACTAAATCTGAAAAAAGCGTGGAAGAAGAAAAACTTATTTCAGAGATGCAGAATGATAAAGCAGAAAGTGAAAAATATTTATTATGCTCTGAGAGCTCAGAATTGCCTTCTCAGTCTATTGAAGCAATAGATAAACTGGAAGTTGGAACAGCACTTAGTGATGATGTTGCTGAGCAACTTAGTCATGATGAACTTTCTATATCAGAAAGTTCTGCCACTCAGAGTGAGCAGACTTGGCAGACTTCTAGTATAGAAACTGCTATCCATATTTCCCAACAGATGTCCTCCTGTTTTAAGCCTTATACTGAAACTCCCCCAGTAACTAGAGTAGATAGCACTGTTTCCGATGTCACATTAGATCTCTCAGGTTCTCCCATACATAGTGCCATTGTTCAAGATAATTTACAATCTGCTCAAGAACCTTCAATATATCATCAATTAAATGGTCCAGTTGAAGTTGAATACATTCCTGAATATGATGCTCCTTTTGATGACAGTAGAGAAAATATTTCGGTTCAGAATGTCCAAGAAACTCAAATTCAAAATTATGATGCTGAAGGACAGTATATGCAAATAAGTGATGATCAAGCAGACTTTAATTCTGAGAGATGTTTATTTCTTGATTCTGAAGAAATGGTAACTTCATCTCAACCTCCAGTTGAATTTTCTGAACAATGGATATCTGATGGAGAAGTTCAAGCTCAGGCCAGAGAAGATAGTTTATCATTACTCACAGAAGATTTATGGCAACAACATGTTCATAGGCATGAATCAGAAATTGAGAAAACACCAGATATACAACACGATGATATAGGTGAAACAAATTGTTTACCAGAAAGTGAACAGAATGTTCTACATAGCCAAGGTTTTGTTCATATAAATTCTGAAATGGTTAAAGATTATGAAATAGAAAAACCAAAGTTAGAAAGTAGAGACTCGTTTGATATGACTGATAAAGCAGAAGCTATAGATACCTCCCCTGAAGATGAAAGATATGATAATCTTCTCCATGATTTAGATGAACAAATTTGTGATGATGATTCTATAAAAGATAAAACATCTGAATCATTTCAGAAATTAAGTACGGATTCTATTCAGGATCAAAGAGAGCCTGCAGATAAAAATGGCTTATTGGTTACTAAAGAAACATTATATGAATCTCAGAATACATACTTATATAATATGGGGTTTGAGAAAGAACTTCCTGAAGAAGTTTTAGATGTGGCTGAGGATCAGTTTACTGAAGAGAAAGATAAATTGCAGGATTCTTATCAAGAAACTGAATTTGTTGATGGTGTATATGAAAGAGGTCAAGAATATGATGATGTCAGTCTTGGTTATGGTGAATTATATACACATCAAGAAGAAGATGAAGAAACTGAAGATGCAGAAAGAGATGAAAGGCATTATAGTCCAGCTGCTGTATCAATAGACGAAAGCAAACGAAGTACACCCAGTTATGATACTTTAGGTGTTCGTAAATTTTTTGGTAGAAGTGGAGAGCATGATGATATGTCTGTGTCATCATTACAAGAATTTGAAAGATTAGAAGCAGAAATAGCAATGGGATCAAGAATGAGCCAAGGATCTGGTGATTCAAATGAAAGACATAGTGTAACAAAAAGTGGAGAACATGATGATGTATCAATGAATTCTTTAATAGAATTTGAAAAATTGGAAACAGAATGCATTGAAGTTGAACATAGTGAATCAGTACCAGTGGTTGAAAAATTATCTGAAATTGAAGAAGGGCATGAAAGCTTATCAGAAGCAAGTCAAGGAACTCTGTCTGATCATGCTGCTGAGCATGAAGAATCAGAAGATTCAGATGATTATGATAAACGAATGTGTGAAATTGATGAAATTATTCGGCAAGCTCAATCTAATGTTGAAAAATTTGATGATAGTTCAGCTGTACTAAGTTCAGAAAAGTCTCCTGCTAAGCATGTTCATACAGTTTCTAGTGATAGTACAGAGAGTAGTCTTGTTGATAAATCACCATCTCCAAAAAAATATCAGGGTTCCTTGAAAGAGACAGAAAGAACACAAATATTGCTGGATACTCAATTACCAATTTCACTTGAACGAGAACAAGCTGAACATGAATTGGAAAGTCCAGCAACACTTGCCCGACATATTATTATCGGGAGAACAATAAGTGGCCATTCTGTTGAAAGTGGAGAATCTCTTCCAAGGAGTTCTACATCAACAGTCACTCAATATGATACAGAGTCTTTAAAAGATAGAGAAATAGATGTGGAAGAGATTGATATTGGCTGTGAAGACAAAAAAATTTCACCATCTGAAGAAGAAAAATATTTTATTCAAGAAACTGATCAAGATAGTTTTCAAACTGAATGGAATCTTCATGATTTAGCTGAACATGGATCAGATCAAATCAAACAAACCTGTGATACTGAATTTCATTCCATCCCAAATATAGATCATTTGAAACAGTTACAACCAGTAGAATTTAGATTACAAGATGATATTACTAAAGAAACTTTTGATATTCAATGGCAAGAAGAAGAATCTCATTTAAGTACAGAAAATTTGACTGGTGAAGGGGAAAGCATAAAAGCAGAAACAACAGGTTCAGGTCATTCTAGTTCAAATGGAAGAGATGGAGAACATGATATGAGTGGAAAAGGAGATTGCATGGTTTCTAGCACTGACTCAATTGACCCGAGCAGTTCTACTGCAACTCATGCAACTTATCAGTTTGAAACTGATTCAGTTATGTCATCAAGTATTAACAGTGCTCAAGCATCTGGAGAAGAATTTACTATGATATCAAGTACAGACACTTTAGAAGCGGAAACGAAAGTAACTCATGTAAATGAACTTGCTTTTGAAGAAATACCTGAAGCACCACATGCTGAAGAAGAAATATTATTAGGAGGTGATAAAACTGAATCAATGTCAGTTGAACAATCTGTAACAATACAGATAGGAACTGAAGAATATGAATCTTTACCTCAGGAAGTAAAAGATAAAGTAAATAAAATGTTAGCTGCTTCAGAAGTTGATCCTGAAATATCAGAATTTCCTGCCAGTGATACATCTTTTTGTGAAAGTGGAGTAGTTACAATTAGAAAAATTGTTAAAACTCAAATAACTTCTGAACAGCAAGTAGAAAAAACAGAATTTCCAATACAAAAAGATATTACTCTTGATTCAACTTTTCAGTCAGAAATAAAGGAAAAGGAAGGGGAGGAAAAACAGCCTATTCCATCGCACTCTTCTATTTCCTCAGAAATGTTCCATGATGATCTTCAGACATTTAACAAGAATACTTCCTCCATGCCAGAGGGTACAGATTCTTCCCTGAATTATCCTTGTTCTCCTGTTACCTCTGCTGTTCCTCAGACTGTTAGTTCTGACTATGACATAGATGAACCATCAACTTTACATAAGGATACTGATGAAAGTACTGCTGTCTCTCATGGGATTGGTCCAGCAACAGGTAGCTAACAGACAATGGTATAGATATTATGTGCAGTCTTTTTCGTCCATTCTACAATATGTAACTAGAAAATATATATCTATATATATATATATATATAAAATTTCTTCTGTTTGCATTTATTAAACAGGAAAAGAAAATTTTAAAAACAATACAAAAAAAATTTGGAAAAAAAGCTGCACAAACATTATTTTTACTATAATATGTAAAAATAATATGTTTAAGAAAATTATCAAAATACATATATTAATGAGCATTATTTTGCTTATAGTTTAATGAACAAGAAAACTAATATTTGCAAATTTCTTATAAAACTAAATTTATTCAAAAGTTTAAACAAAAGCTGATTTCCTTTACTTAAACTGGTTAAAATAATGATATTGGATCCCACTTTTTTCATTATGTATTTGAGAAAGACTTATTTATTTTTTAAAAACTATTAAGATTTTTATATCTCTGTTTCAAGTAGATCTTGATTTATTTATTTTTTTTTTTACTTTTTCCTGTTTGTTAATAATCCTCTAGCATTCATTGCAACTTTGCTGTTTTAAAAGGTCTTTTTTTTCTTTTATGTTGCAGGATGAAATTGTGATATTGTTTGATAATGAAACATAATAGAATTTTGAAATAAATGAAAATGTTTATAATTTTAATAATTAATTTATATGTTCTGATTTGCATGTATTTATTAGTATTATTTGTATGTTTTTATAATGTGATTTTACTTTAAACACTGAATTATATATACGTATTTAAATAGTTTTCTGCACTTTTAATTTGTATTTATAAAATAAGTATTATAATGAATTGACATTTGTAAAATATTTCAGTTTCAAATAAATTTTTCACGATATTTTATTTATTATAAACATGTTGTGTTTGATAAAGGAACTATAAACTATGCTTGTATATGTTAGATTTTTTGTCATAAAAGGATGAATAATATTTTAAGATATTTCTATATTATTTTGCATGCTTCAAATCCTTCACTATGCTTTTCTGCTTTGCTATTGTTTATATTTATAGCAATATGTATGCTTCTTATTTTTTTTTTTTTTTTTTTTTTTTTTTTTTTTTTTTTTTTTTTTTTTTTTTTTTTTTTTTTTTTTTTTTTTTTTTTTTTTTTTTTTTTTTTTTTTTTTTTTTTTTTTTTTTTTTTTTTTTTTTTTTTTTTTTTTTTTTTTTTTTTTTTTTTTTTTTTTTTTTTTTTTTTTTTTTTTTTTTTTTTTTTTTTTTTTTTTTTTTTTTTTTTTTTTTTTTTTTTTTTTTTTTTTTTTTTTTTTTTTTTTTTTTTTTTTTTTTTTTTTTTTTTTTTTTTTTTTTTTTTTTTTTTTTTTTTTTTTTTTTTTTTTTTTTTTTTTTTTTTTTTTTTTTTTTTTTTTTTTTTTTTTTTTTTTTTTTTTTTTTTTTTTTTTTTTTTTTTTTTTTTTTTTTTTTTTTTTTTTTTTTTTTTTTTTTTTTTTTTTTTTTTTTTTTTTTTTTTTTTTTTTTTTTTTTTTTTTTTTTTTTTTTTTTTTTTTTTTTTTTTTTTTTTTTTTTTTTTTTTTTTTTTTTTTTTTTTTTTTTTTTTTTTTTTTTTTTTTTTTTTTTTTTTTTTTTTTTTTTTTTTTTTTTTTTTTTTTTTTTTTTTTTTTTTTTTTTTTTTTTTTTTTTTTTTTTTTTTTTTTTTTTTTTTTTTTTTTTTTTTTTTTTTTTTTTTTTTTTTTTTTTTTTTTTTTTTTTTTTTTTTTTTTTTTTTTTTTTTTTTTTTTTTTTTTTTTTTTTTTTTTTTTTTTTTTTTTTTTTTTTTTTTTTTTTTTTTTTTTTTTTTTTTTTTTTTTTTTTTTTTTTTTTTTTTTTTTTTTTTTTTTTTTTTTTTTTTTTTTTTTTTTTTTTTTTTTTTTTTTTTTTTTTTTTTTTTTTTTTTTTTTTTTTTTTTTTTTTTTTTTTTTTTTTTTTTTTTTTTTTTTTTTTTTTTTTTTTTTTTTTTTTTTTTTTTTTTTTTTTTTTTTTTTTTTTTTTTTTTTTTTTTTTTTTTTTTTTTTTTTTTTTTTTTTTTTTTTTTTTTTTTTTTTTTTTTTTTTTTTTTTTTTTTTTTTTTTTTTTTTTTTTTTTTTTTTTTTTTTTTTTTTTTTTTTTTTTTTTTTTTTTTTTTTTTTTTTTTTTTTTTTTTTTTTTTTTTTTTTTTTTTTTTTTTTTTTTTTTTTTTTTTTTTTTTTTTTTTTTTTTTTTTTTTTTTTTTTTTTTTTTTTTTTTTTTTTTTTTTTTTTTTTTTTTTTTTTTTTTTTTTTTTTTTTTTTTTTTTTTTTTTTTTTTTTTTTTTTTTTTTTTTTTTTTTTTTTTTTTTTTTTTTTTTTTTTTTTTTTTTTTTTTTTTTTTTTTTTTTTTTTTTTTTTTTTTTTTTTTTTTTTTTTTTTTTTTTTTTTTTTTTTTTTTTTTTTTTTTTTTTTTTTTTTTTTTTTTTTTTTTTTTTTTTTTTTTTTTTTTTTTTTTTTTTTTTTTTTTTTTTTTTTTTTTTTTTTTTTTTTTTTTTTTTTTTTTTTTTTTTTTTTTTTTTTTTTTTTTTTTTTTTTTTTTTTTTTTTTTTTTTTTTTTTTTTTTTTTTTTTTTTTTTTTTTTTTTTTTTTTTTTTTTTTTTTTTTTTTTTTTTTTTTTTTTTTTTTTTTTTTTTTTTTTTTTTTTTTTTTTTTTTTTTTTTTTTTTTTTTTTTTTTTTTTTTTTTTTTTTTTTTTTTTTTTTTTTTTTTTTTTTTTTTTTTTTTTTTTTTTTTTTTTTTTTTTTTTTTTTTTTTTTTTTTTTTTTTTTTTTTTTTTTTTTTTTTTTTTTTTTTTTTTTTTTTTTTTTTTTTTTTTTTTTTTTTTTTTTTTTTTTTTTTTTTTTTTTTTTTTTTTTTTTTTTTTTTTTTTTTTTTTTTTTTTTTTTTTTTTTTTTTTTTTTTTTTTTTTTTTTTTTTTTTTTTTTTTTTTTTTTTTTTTTTTTTTTTTTTTTTTTTTTTTTTTTTTTTTTTTTTTTTTTTTTTTTTTTTTTTTTTTTTTTTTTTTTTTTTTTTTTTTTTTTTTTTTTTTTTTTTTTTTTTTTTTTTTTTTTTTTTTTTTTTTTTTTTTTTTTTTTTTTTTTTTTTTTTTTTTTTTTTTTTTTTTTTTTTTTTTTTTTTTTTTTTTTTTTTTTTTTTTTTTTTTTTTTTTTTTTTTTTTTTTTTTTTTTTTTTTTTTTTTTTTTTTTTTTTTTTTTTTTTTTTTTTTTTTTTTTTTTTTTTTTTTTTTTTTTTTTTTTTTTTTTTTTTTTTTTTTTTTTTTTTTTTTTTTTTTTTTTTTTTTTTTTTTTTTTTTTTTTTTTTTTTTTTTTTTTTTTTTTTTTTTTTTTTTTTTTTTTTTTTTTTTTTTTTTTTTTTTTTTTTTTTTTTTTTTTTTTTTTTTTTTTTTTTTTTTTTTTTTTTTTTTTTTTTTTTTTTTTTTTTTTTTTTTTTTTTTTTTTTTTTTTTTTTTTTTTTTTTTTTTTTTTTTTTTTTTTTTTTTTTTTTTTTTTTTTTTTTTTTTTTTTTTTTTTTTTTTTTTTTTTTTTTTTTTTTTTTTTTTTTTTTTTTTTTTTTTTTTTTTTTTTTTTTTTTTTTTTTTTTTTTTTTTTTTTTTTTTTTTTTTTTTTTTTTTTTTTTTTTTTTTTTTTTTTTTTTTTTTTTTTTTTTTTTTTTTTTTTTTTTTTTTTTTTTTTTTTTTTTTTTTTTTTTTTTTTTTTTTTTTTTTTTTTTTTTTTTTTTTTTTTTTTTTTTTTTTTTTTTTTTTTTTTTTTTTTTTTTTTTTTTTTTTTTTTTTTTTTTTTTTTTTTTTTTTTTTTTTTTTTTTTTTTTTTTTTTTTTTTTTTTTTTTTTTTTTTTTTTTTTTTTTTTTTTTTTTTTTTTTTTTTTTTTTTTTTTTTTTTTTTTTTTTTTTTTTTTTTTTTTTTTTTTTTTTTTTTTTTTTTTNCCAGAAGTTTCCTTTAAGTTGATTTTTTGATTGAAGTATAAATTTTCGTTAACATTAGTTTAATAAATACTGTTAATAATACTTACTTTTAAAAGATCTCATGTCAATTTTAAAATATTTTGAAATAATTCACAAAAAATAAATAGCCTAATTCTTAATGGAAAAAGTGGAGATTTTTTAAAAATCAAATTGCCCAAAGGGAATGTAACTATATTCATAATGTCCTGTCAATTTAATAAATTAGTCAATATTTATCAGGCTGCCTGGCCATTTTAGTCATTATTCATAATGGCTGGTTATTATAAATTCTGTAATGTCCTATTAGTCCATAACATATACATACAATTATAATGTGATAAATAGGTACAGAACTTCATTGGAAAGTAGAGATACCAGGCAGTTTTGTATATTTCTAACTCTCTAGTAATGAAAAATTGATAATTGTGTAGCATTGTGAAAAATTGTCTTATTAATTTTATATTAAAATATTGTGAGATAATATAAATAGTAAATTGTTCAATAGATCACAAAATCAATAGTGTAAATAATTTATTAAATGATTTTGTGATCAATTAATTGCATTTATATGAATTTCCATTTTGAAATTATTAGTATGCTTGGATAACTGTGCATCAGATATCGGCATGACACAGATTTATCATATTGCTCGGGGTTATGCATCAGACAGTATTTTGATTTGCATTTTATCATAAAAATAAATAAATACATAAACCTGGTTTTTGCAAAAGTATTAGCAATGATAAATTTGCATTAAGTAATAAAGTTTTTCTGAATTGCTTGTTTGCATTTTGTTTCAATAATAATAAAAAGACTAATGTAATAAATTTATATTTTCTAGCAAACTTTTATTTAATATTAATACAATGTGATAACACTTGAAATTTTAATATATTTAGAAGTATATGTTATTGTTTTAATCTTTTATGTACTTTAATTTTTAAAATATTTAAGAAATTTTTTTAATTGGCAAAATTTATATTGATAGGAAATGTTATAGAAACTGAAGATAGTAATGAGGATGGACTAAGTGATGGAAATGAGTGCACAGTTAAAACTAGGTAAATATATACATTATTGTAACATTTACTGTTTAATAAGTTATATTTATCTACAATTGGAAACAAAATTAACACAAATTACCACTTATTCTACAGCTGTATACAAATAATAAATATAATAAGAGAGTTATAAAGATAGTTTAGTAATTTTAATTACTGTAAGAAAAACTTTTTATATTTTAGTTTAACGAAACCAAATGGTGCTAAACAAGAATATTGTAACTAAATACAACTGAATTTTTATTCAACACAATCATAATAAATTAACTGCTTTCATAAAGAAAATTACAATTGTTTAAAAAATATACTGGAATATGCTTACATGCTGAATAAATTTCTTCATAATAATTACAATCAGTAATCAGTTCTTGCCTTAAAGTGTCTAATCTACAGCAATTTTTTATAAAATGTTTAACTAAATATTCAAATTTTTTTGTGATGATGAAATGGAACAACAAGAAAGACTTCAATGTTTCTATTTGTATAAGTCTTTATTATTTGTATTTTTACCATGTATATTTTAAAAGTATATTTCATCCTGGATCTTTTTAGAGATTTATTCAAATTTCTCATTACAAAAATTACATAAATTATTTCTCTGAATTCTAATACAATGATTTTTAATTAGTAATTTATATTTATTCTACCTGCATTGAGAGATTAGCATAATAATTGAAATGAGACAATAAATATTCCTGCAAATGCCAGTAATAAATTCTTAAAAACTTTTCTTAAACATTTATAATTGTTTCTTTTTTGTGACCAAATTTCTTTGATGCAAAAGCAGGATGCCAGATTAATACCAGTTTAGTGTACACTAAGCTTTTGTTGTTTACAAATAATTATTTAAAATAAGTAGCATATATAATTAATATGACCTGTATGTGTATTTATTGACCATATTTTTTTTACTAAGAAATAAATCACCTAATGACACAACCAGTAAGCTAACTATTTTGTTTGAACTTGATTTGCATATGAGTCCATCTACTCTGAAGCACACAATGAATGGATTTGAAGCATGTTGGGTCAGTGGCAAATATTTTATAGATGAGTAGCTTTTTTGTAACACAGTATATTCCTTCAGCAGCATCTCATAAACTTTCTTACAGGACTTGTCACCAAAGTTACACTTGACCATCAGCATACCTTTTAATATTTCAACTTTGAGTTCTGTATTCTTGGTTGGCTACATATAATTTACTGTGGAAAATACTCTCACTTGCAACATTGAATGGCAAGAAGCTTTTTTAATCTAGAAACTGTATTTGATTACTGAAGAGGTACAACGAAATGTAATAGCTACAACTTTTTAAAGTACTGATCTAAAGTGGCCTGCTTCATTTTTATTGCAAACTTCTAATATGTAAGATTCTAGGAAAAGCATATTCGAGCAAATACAGTATATAAAAAATGTGTTTACAATATTTATTATATTGACTGCACAGAACTTCATTGGAAAGTAGAGATACCAGACAGAGGCCACATGTTTATACTGCTTATAAAACCACAGTTAGTCAACTGATTACTTTTCTCTTACTAATCACAGCAATAAATTTAATATTTTGAAAAGGAATAATTTTTGAATTCAAATTCAAAACTGTTTACAGTTGAAATTTGTTAGCCAATCAAAAGCATAATTTTAATTTTCAAACATTAAATGTGTGAGAATCAAACATAACAAATTTCATTTGTAATCTAAATTTTCAAAATTTTTATTTTAAAGTTCATTATCATTGGGCTGTTAAACTAATTAACTTCATAAATTTCAGTAATACAGTAGAACCTCCATTATCCGGACCTCCATTATCCGGACCTCCATTATCCGGATTTTCGATTATCCGGATTGTTCAAAATAAACAAAAATTTTACGAATTTGCTGATTTGCACTTGGCGAATTACGGCACTGTTTATGTACGTGATGGAATGCACAACTTTTTTTGTTTCAACAACGTCTCACCCAGCACAGTGGTCGTAAACTCTTAAATATATTTTACGTAGTAATAAAAATATAACTTGACATACGTATTTATAAATAATTTATATTCAAATTACATCATTTCTATGACCAAGGGCGGCGTAAGGCATGGACGACGTGGGCCACCGCCTATGCCTCGCGGTCCGAAGGGCCTCGCGCCTCGAAGGTTTATGCATTACTTAAAAGCCGCGAACGCGACGAAAAAATTTTACTCGTCATAAAACGATAAATAGTTTGTCAAATTTTTATTCATAAAAGTGTAGTTTCGACTGCTTTTTATTTTATAAAATCCGTCTTCTTGCGCCACCAGAGGGCCTTTTAAACAATAGGTAGTCTGTTAGCGTTGGCCAGCAGTAGTCCAAATTTAATACGAACGTTTGTATCTTGAAAATTTGATCACGATTTAAATACAGTATTTACTTTTAATATTACAACCGGTATGTCATCGAAAAGAGAACGTCTTGTATTATCATTAAAAGACAAAGTGTTTGTTTCGATTATCCGGATTTTTCCTTATCCGGACTACCTTCATCCCCAATTAGTCCGGATAATCGAGGTTCTACTGTATTGAATATTGCACCTCCCTTCTTTAAAAACTACAGGATTCCTGTTTATGCAGCTTATGAGAACAGTATTGGTCCACTAATGTCTATTATAAAGATCATAATTAAATCTACCTGATTCCACACATTTGGAATAATTCCAGAAGCCATAATTTAATTATAAAAATTTAGGTTTTTTATCATATATTTGATAAACTTTTATGCATTTCATTAAATAGACCATCATTTACTGGACATTTTTTATCTTTTAATTTAACTAATACAGCTTCCAACTTCTCTAAACTAAACTATCCAAGAAAGAGAATTTTCTACTTAGAACACACTGTCATCCAAATTGGAATAATTATCAACTGCTTGTTTAAAAAATTAAATCACATATTACAATGAATAACTTCTATTTTAGTTCCATGCCTTACAGTCTTGTTTATTATACATGAAAATCTTCTACTGTTATTAACATTGCTTAAAGTATTTAATATTCTATTCCAGAACAAGTGCATTTTAGTTCTACATAATAATGCATATACAGTCAAACCTGTCTATAACAGAACCCCAAAGGGACCGAACAACTCTTCCGTAGTACAAGCGGTATCACCAAAGAAACAATATATCAGTTAAGCAGCAAACCCATCATTAGAGCAATAGACAAAGACAAATGAGCAGACTATATCGAAAGAAACATAGATCAGATGATCAGGCAAATACAGGCACAATTACACAAATCAAGGAGTCATAAAAGTCAGAGATATCCCACACACGAGGATAGAAGAGAATTTTCCTGGCGTAGAGGCAACAATGCTAGAACCAGATATAAGGACCTTGATGACCCAAGAAACATAATAGGCAGCATGCGAAATCAACCATATAACTCTCGATATAATTCTTGATGCAGACCTAGATGACATGGACCAAGACAATTTCCAGGCAACTCAAGAAAAACTGGCAAGTGCTGCAGAACTGCAGCACTTGTCATAAACCATCACATTTGAAGAGATAATAAATAAAACATTTCTACTTTGTTGATGGTTTCTATGCTTTTTTATATGATCACTAAAATTTTAAAAAAGAAAAATAGCTTAATCTCTTGATTTTAATTCAACTGTAATTATATAAATACTATGATACATGATTAAAATTAATTAGTTTTAATTAAATCAGTGCCAATGAAAACAGTATACAAAATAAAAATGATTCTATTATGCTGTTATGCTGTATCATATTCAAGGTCATCTTCCACTCAGAGAGCAGTCCCACTCATTCAGCTGACACAACTTGTGGTACAATGAAATGCTTGAGATGGCACTGTACTGTTTGATAGTTTAATCCCTGCAGATATGTCCTTATGTGACATTAGTTACTGGATCAGAGCAGAAGTATTTTGTGACTTTTAAATGTTAATATGAAAAAACATGGACATTAATACATTTGGGACATATCCTCCCAATATTTTTACACTATAAAATTGTCCTCTTTCCCAACATATTATTTTCCTGGCTGTTATATATACATAACAAGGAAAAGTATTGGAATTGTGTCAAATTTGGCCCTCTGAGTTTCTTGCAAATCTCCATATTTTGAGATCCCTGAACCCAAAAAAGTAAAAAAAAAAAAAGGCAGAAAAATTTTATAGATGTGTGTGTATGTGTATTGGCATCTGTTTCATTTAATATCTCGAGATGGGATAAAGATTAAAAAATGAAATTTGTTGCAGTAGCTTGTGTATACGGGATATTGATGCTATTAATTAAAGTTTGGTTGTGAAAGGTTGAGAGGATCGGGAGATAGAGGGGTGTCATGTGTCATATCTCAAGAGATAGGACTTAATGAAGATTTTATTCATTATTAACATTTATACATTTTTTATGAAACTCATGTTTACCCTCAAAATTAAGCATTTTGCTATTTTATTATAATTAAATAAGATATATTATTTCAGTGTATTCTGTAAAAGTTATTTTTTAACAGGAAAGTTATGCAACTTGCTGGCTTTTTTTTTTTTTTAACTAATGAAGATAGACTGATAATTAACAATTATCAAGGCAAGTAAAGCAACAACAATACTTTCACCGTTTTGCTAATGAGACCAGAACTAAACACGATCTTGAGTTACTTATGAAGTAAAATATGAATTTAATGAAATAAATAAATCAAATATACACTAGAAAAATGATGATTTATTTGATTAAGAATGATTTATTTTCTTTAAAATTTTATATTAAGGTTTTTTTTTTTTTGAGAATCTAGACATTAATTTAAGATAGTAGAAAATAAATTGTCTTTGTATAAACCCTTTTTTCATAATTGGTAAATAAGTCAGTTATATTAACACACTGGCACATTTCAGCTTAAAAATAGCCTCAATTATGATTACTATATTAAAAAGTAAATTTTAAATATTTTTTTTAATAAAAATAAAAATTTTTAATACAGTAGAGCATCGATTATCCGACTCAATTGGGGACTCGGGTTGGTCGAATAACTGAAAAAATTGGATAACCGAAAATAATGAAAAAAATACATTATTAGTATAGTATATTAGTATATCGCTATTAATTAGTTAAATGTAATTAGTGTATTAGTATATCGTTAACCTACTTTGCGTTGAATTTTCATCGATGTTAAACCTAACAAAAATTTTTTTTAAAATAATATGTCGCTATTGTATCGTTAAAAATTATTTTTAAATTATCTTATTGCTCACAAAACAAACAACCACTAATAATTAGAAAATTAAATCTCGTTTAAATACTGGCCTCCCTTTCATGGTCAAGCCAGTGTTGCCAGCTAAACCATGCAAAAATTTAACAAAAATTATATTAAAGTAGCCAAGACATGGCCAAATATTGTAGCGCCACATTAGCAGACATTTGAAATTTGCCGACTAGGACGGTCAGTTAACCGATGTGACGGTTAATTGGGGGTCAGATAATCGATGCTTTACTGTATTCTCTTATATTTATTTTCTTAAAGAAATATGTTTGTTATAGCTTTGTCTTTTCTTATGAAGAAATTCTAATTATTTTTTCAATATAAATATAATTAAGTTTAGTATGAATTATATTTATATCTATTTGTAATTCTTTTATATGAGGGTTGATCAAAAACTAAGGTTACAAGGCTGATATTCCTGGAGTTTCATTTGTTATAGAGAAATGAGAAGTGTGTGATAATTCCAATACATGCGGTTGGAAACTGTGCAGAGTTTCAGCCACCCACCACCTACAGCGCTAGTTGTAGTTAAACACAAATGGTGACTCATTTGGAAAATTGGTCTTGCGAAGAAATCTGCTCGGTTATTCGATTTCTGTGGTCAAAACATGTAACCGAACTGAAATTTGCTGGCAGCTGGTAGAGGTTTATGGAGAGACTGTAAGGTCTCATCAGCATGTCACAGAATGGTGTTGGAAGTTTGCGACTGGTAGAGAAAACATCATCAATGAGGATTGCAGTGGCCAACCCAGCACAGCATCAACAGATGTCAACACAGCTCGCGTTTCCTCACTTGAAGGAGAACCTAGCAGGATGACAATTTACTTCAGACAAGGAAGTGAAACACTTCATGACAACTTGGCTGAACATGCAAGGACAGGATTTTTACCAGAAGGGAATTTTCAAACTCTTCACACAAAGTGACAAGTGCCTAAACCGATATGGAGACTATGTTGAAAAATATCCTAATATATGTACTATCATTTGGTTGTATTGGTTGTATGAAATAAAATGTACACTTTTCATTGCAGGCTTTGTAACCTTAGTTTTTGATCATCCCTCGTATATAAAAATTTTATCTTTGCTATAATGATATTATAGATTAAATATGTTTGTTTACAGTAGAGTTCCACAAACTTGATTTAATGTGAACTGAGAAAGTGACAAGTTATTGAAAATGAAAGTTTTGCAGTATAGCATTATGCTAGTCTAAATAGCAGAATTTTCATAAAGATGTTATATGTGCAAATTCATATAGGTATTAACTATGTACCAAAAGTGACTATTTCTGTAGTTAAATTTTAATTACAATAATTTTGGCTATTCAGTGGCTACTTCTGAGTCAGTGAATTCATGTAGTGGCATTTTGCAATAGTATCCTGGTAAAGGGTTATATTCTTTGTTAACACATGGAATTGATGCTATTATTAAGTGTCACCAGTGAAGAACCATAAGTTATTTGATTCTAGTGTTAAGTTATAGAGGTAAAAGTTAGATTACAGTAATACCCCGAGTTATGTAACACGTGACTTATGTAAAATATAAATCTCAAAAATTGGAAAACATCTGAGTAGAGTAACATGTAATATGTAATTAATACGTAATTTTATAAAGAATTATTCTATTTCAAACATTCATTCTCTCTCTCTCTCTCTTGAAACCAAGTACATCTTCATTACTTGTTTTTCTATATGTATTGTTTCACATCATTAGTGTAGTTTGCCTCAAGTGATTTGTTTAATACATAACCTGTTTACCACTGCTACATTTACATAGTGTTTGTTGTTTATTTACAGTACTGTACCATTAAAATGCAATCAAAACAACAAATCAAATTATACAAAAAATTAATAAATAATATATGTACACTACACATATAATAATAAATACAGTATTGGATTATTAATTACATAGTTACACTTAAGCAATTTACAAATTCGAGTTACATAAAGGTCTATGGTCTACATTACTTGCGTAACTTGGAGTATTACTGTAAATGTCAACTCATCCTAAAAAAAGAAATACAAGTTTTATGGAATGTCAAATTGTAGAGAGTTGAGTTTCTGGACTCTATTGTTTGCAATAATTTTTAAGTCTGTTATAAGATTATATAAAGATGGAATTTAAATTATACCAATAGTTTAATGAGTTTAGTTTTTGAGTTTCCTACAGCTGTAAATATTGTCTTTAATGTGTTTCATTTATGACTGAAGACAATATTTTATTACTATTAAATAATAAAGACCATTTTATTTATTCAATAAGTTTACAGAAATTTTTAATAATTAATTCTTAAGCAGTATTTATTATATTTAAACAGAATAGTTACCAAAACAACAATAACAACATCAGATGGACAAGAAATTAGTGAAACATCAGAACAAGATGGCAGTGATAATACTTTAAGAGACAGCATGCAACAGATCCTGGATAATTTTATGACAGAAGAAAATCAGCAACTCTGGGAAAAGAAACAGGAGAAAGAATAAAATTAATCAGTTTTACATATTAAAAGTTTAAAAAGAATATATTTCTGCCATTGCTAATAGCACTGTGGAGCAGCCAAGAATACCATATAGGCTACTACATTGTGCTTGCTTTATGCTTCTAAAGACTGGATTTCTTTGTTCATTTGGATTTTTATAAAGTGAGCTGTGAGTTTATTGGTGCCATATTTTGCCTTTTCCTATCACATCATCAGAGGTTTTTGTTGATCAAATTGTCAGTTCTATCAATAAAACTACATTATGTTTTACGATTTCTTAACAACCATATAAAAGTTCTCTACATAGTAGAAATTTTAGAATTAAAAAAGTCCATTTGTTCCTATATAAATACATATGGGGAAAATTGTACCAGCCAAGCTTATGTATAGGTGCTTTTCTAATATAGAATATGGAATCTTTAACTCGGATTTGCCAAGAAATTAGTTAATGACATGTTTGAAATTTTATCATTAAATTACTGTAACATTACTTCCAAACTATTTAAGAATTCTTGTTTTATTTTTTATTTATTATAATTTTATTTTTTAATTTTTTTTTATTGAAAAGTTGGAAATTTAGATTTTAAGACAGTGTTTAATACTACTACATATTTTTAACCCAACAAAATTTGCTTTTATTACTATTTAATAAGTCAAAGTATTTAACATTGTAGTACTTCGCTTGCACATACAAATACTTTAATAGTATAAAAACTTTTAAAAAGAACTGATTCCTAAATATTTACATTTAATCTGTGTAGAGTTATTGCTGGTGGGGCAGTTTACAAAACTCCATATTATAAACGTACAGGGTTTTTAAATTAAAAATAACAGTATATCCAAGATAAGTTTTTGTTTTTATTTTAAACCAAAATGAAAAACAAAAAAACAAGTGAATGTGTGCATTTTTAGAATAGTACATCCTCCATCTTCACAGGTTTGTTTAGTGAAATACAGTATCTGTGCATTCCAGTTTCAGAGATGCAATATCTGTAATAATTCACAGAATTAAAAGTTATATATATATATATAAATTAATAAGGAGAAACAAAATATGTGAATGCAAATGAAAATATGATTTTAAAAAAGTGCACCAGTTTATTTGTTAGAATAAGAGTTGTGTTTCTGAAGACTGTGAGTCTAAATTGAAATTTATGTAAACAGATCAACTGCCTGTTAATCGATCAAATAAAAAGCTTTTCCGTGTATATTTGGTATATTGTTTTATATATATATCTTATGTATGTTTTTTTTTTTAAATATTACATTTGTTTTTTGTCGCTACCTGTCATAAGTGAAGAATCCATCCTTTGACAGCTTAAAAATTTGCCATTTAATTATCATTCATATAAATGTTGTTTACATTTTTTTATAAAAAATATTGAAAAGCCTAAATATTATCAATAAGGATTTTTTTTATTTTCAAAAAGAATAATAAAATAAATTCACAAATATATTTTCAATGAAAATAATTGCACTGTATTATATTTAAAGTAGAACTTACAGATTAAATTATGATGTCAACATGTAATAGTTAATATGTTTTATTGTTCTTAGTAAAATTTTGATTGAAAGTTGTTGATTTAAATTCTGAGAAAAGATTAATACTTTTTTAGGTACAAATAAATGTTTAGTTAATAAGTAATTGGTTAAATTATGTTGAATAAACATGTATTAATAATTAAAAAAAAGTTTAATTTTTTGCACATTTTTAAAATGTATAATTTAAAATTAATAATCTTTTTGCTATGACATTGTCAGATATCTGCTTGTTTATTAAATGCTCTAGGAATTGACATCTTTTTGTTTATTAGACATAAATAACTGATTAAGTACAGTATATCTGCATTGCTCTTTGAATTTGTTATAAATTTTATTTATAGTGTGTATTTTATTAATTATATAAATTAATACAACAGATTGAATTTATAAAAATTCAATGTGTGTGACTTCCAAAAAGATTCCAATTCCTGGCATAGCATATTCTATGATTTTATCACTAGTACAGTACAGTACAATAAATTCTTAATCTACAAATTTGTGGATATGGGACTGTAAATACTTTGACTTAAAATTAATAACACCATTTATTATGTGCTACTTTAAATATATATTTAATAGTGAAAACTTTGAGAAAACAGTAACTTTTATTTTCTCAGTTTCCTTTTCATAAGCAGAAACTGTTTTACTTTAATAATAATTTGAAATGAATGTATACTGTATATAAAAAAAATACAGTGTATCTTATGAGTTAGACAATCTTTTAGATTGTATGGAAACCTTTAGAATGAAAGAATCACATAAGTTGAAGACATTACAAAGATTAATTGCAGATAAACATTGTTATTCATTCTTCTTCAATCAGTTTTGATATCAATATACAAGAGTCAGAAAACTATCAAAATGAATAATTTATTAAATAATTTAACTATTTAATGATATCCATCCAAATATCCATTTATTTAATAAAGTAATGATTATGTAAAAGTTTTTACATCATAAAGTAATCATCAATCAATGTTTTCACTTAAAATATTATACTGAATTTTAAATGAATCTCATAAAATTTGAAATTAATTTCTTATATTTCAATTCTTGTTTATACTTTTTATTTTCTTAAAAAGAAATGTATAAAAATTTCTAAATTACTATTTATCTCTTAATATTGTGTATGTGTATGTTTATCTGTCCATTATTAAATTTCTATCAAAAAATATGAAAAACAATACACTTATAATTTGATATAAAACTCTTATAAATGGACTACGTTTATTCATAAACTTATCATACTGACTATGCAAGTCGTACATTGATATTTAATCAAAGATAATACTACAAAATGTTAATACGTTTTTTTACATCAGATAGTTTTCACAAAGTAAGAATTGAAACACTTATTTTGAATATTGTAACAGTAAAAACCTTTTTATGAAACAATGAGATTTTTTCTTGTAGATACATCTGATTTCATATTTATACATATCTAATTAATGTTTCTCACACACCAAATATTTAATATATGAAAGGAAAAATCAGTATATACCATTAAAATGTAAATGATAGAAACTCTGAAATATAATTATTAATTACAGAATTGTTACTATTTTTCTTTTTTTTTTAATATACATTTAAATTCATATAATTCAATGATTTTAGGAAAATGCTGATTTGAATTTATTATAGGTATTTATGAGGTATATAAATTATTAAAGGAATGTTTCAAGTATATTCCTAAATATTTTTGTTTAAATTATTTGAATAATGTAAAATATAGGAGTAAGTTAAAGGAGTGTCAATTTTTTAAAATTTTGCTTCATAAAACTTCATTATTGGTTATAATCTATTTGAAAGTTAAACAAAAAATAGTTTTCATTACATTTAACTGCTAAACTATTAGTCCTGAAGATTATATTTTCAGGTATTACATTTTTCTATATTACTAATTTTATAAATAGGTTTTATATAATTTATTTCTGTCTGAACAGATTTCTGGATAACCATCCTATTTTACCTTTACTAGTTGAATCTGCCTCAGGAGAGGAAGTAGGACTTTGTGGAGGAACTCTACTTCCTACACTCTTAATAACAGGACTGTTTAGACTAAAGAGAAGCGTTTGTTTACACAGTGCATTTACAACTGATCCTTCTTTATTTTTAGGAAGTTTTAAAAAATCTGAATTTAGTTCATTTTCCTGTTCTGAAACTGTTGTTCCTTCTGCTGAAGATGTTTGATTTGTAGAATATTCTGCATTTTCTATACCGGACGCACAGTTCATTTGTGTATCTATTTCATTTTTTAATTGTGACTCAGCTAATGTACATTCTTTGCTTTCACGATTCATTTGTTGATTTTTTATTGTACTGTCACATACACCAAAAATATTTAATTTTACTTTTTGTGTAGGAACAGTTACTTCTGATATTGCAATTTTAGATGAATCAGATGGCTCAAAAAATGTTTTCTTTTCAGTTTTAGCAGTAAAATGATGAACTTGAGAACTGGTACTAGGAAATGATAAATCTAAACGCTGTACATATGTAGGTAAAATAGGACTTGTTTTCTTTTCTTCTTGTTTGCTTTTCAATCTTGTAACATCATCCTGAATTTCTTGTGTTAGTATTGTAGATGCAGTGTTCTGATTAGAACATTGCTTGAACGATGATGTTCTAACTTTAAGGCTACTAACATCAGTTAATTTATCCACGATAATTTCATTAGAAGAATCTGAGGAACGCCTGTTAGTTGGATTATTTGATGCCTTCTGTGTTTTCCCTTCTCTTTGTACATTACATTTTGAAATTAAAGGTAGACTGTTAACGGAATTAGCAGAAGCAGAACAATTCCTTTCATTACCTGTTGAAGAACCATCCTCATCTTCTTCGTTCAGAGATGAAAATTGGATATTAAGCTCTCTCGACCATAGATCATCTTCCGAATACTTATCATCTCCAGCATAATCGTATTTACTCGAATGGAACCACGAAGCAGCTAAACTTTCTTCGTCCATAAATGAACTTTCTGAAGAGGTAGATACATTATCTTTAGAATGCCAGGTTTTCCATGGCAATCGCAGAAGACAAGGTGCGGATCTTTCGGCTTCATTCACACTAGAACTATCACTAACGTCTGCTCCAGACATGCTACTAATATTTCCTAGAGAATTTCTTCTTTGTCCACACAGTCTTCCATTATCATATAATCGACTGTCCGGACGTGAGGAACCCAGCTGACTGCTAATCTCACTGGAGAAGGACGAAGATCTACTGTGATTAATTGAGCCAAATTCATATTTTTCACTATCGGCCACCTAAGATATAAGAAATAATAAGAAATCTCCACGGCTAATACTAATACAGTAGTTATTTAATTTAATGAGTGCTTTTACCTCGGATTCTGTTCTACACGTAACCTCTTGGGCAGGATCAGCATCTGACAAACATTGTATTATTTAAGAATTTTACTTTTAAAGTATATTTTGAAAGAATTTTACCTACCAATAATGCTAGTTGATAGTTTTAAAAGTGTTTTTTTAAGTTCGTGAATAGTTCCAACAAGTTCACTAGGTCCACATTCTATTTTAGGCCAATCACTATATGTTGTTGTGGAGAGATGCTTCAATCTATTTTGAAGCCATTCTTCTGATTCGCTATCCTATTATAAAAAATAAATTTATAATCCGTTTATATATTGAATAAATAAGAATAATTTCTGTAAGAGAATAATTACTTCACGCTCTTTGGGATACAATCTTTCGCTAGATGACCACGATCTTTTCTGTTTGAATCGCGCTCTTCTCCCTCCAGCTGCAACACTTTGCCATTTAGCTCGATGTACCTCCGCTTGTAGAAGCATCATGGATACGTCTCTATGTAATAGTTCCCATCGTAAATGACAAACTTGTCTACTTCTTTCAGCCAAAGTTTTGTCCACGTCTCTGGCCTAATTAAATAATTATAGATAGTCAGTCTAATAATCATAATAATAATAATAAAAACAAATGCACTAACTTGTTGAAGAAGTTGAGTTGATAAGTCATTCAACTTTGCCACAGTTTCTGTACTGCAAGTAATCACCTCTTCTCGGCGACTATGTCCATCGTCTAATTAAAACAATAAAAAAATTTAATATATAAAAATGTTAGCGTTACTTAAAGTTAGAAAAATCTCGTATAGCCTAAATACCAAGATTTGATGCCCATCCTGCTTGTTGTAATTCTTTCATTTTTTCTGCTAATCCATCTGCCAATCTCGCTTGCTGTTCACTATGGTACCTAAAGCTTTCCTGGTAAACATTGATAACATTACGATGATCGAAGTAACATAAATTTAAAATAGAAAATGTCAAAATTTACTTCTAAAGTTTCTCTATCCAACTTTAACTTTTCGCTACATCTCTGTAGTTCTTCGATTCTGGTCTTTAGACAAGCAATTAGTTTTAGTGAGCTTTGTAAGTCTTTCGGTTTCCTTCCTGGTCGATGAATCTCCCAAAGCTTCTCTCTGTAACGCTCTAACAGTTAAAAAAAAAAAGAAATATANATGCCATAGGAAATAGCAACTTCGCTTGGCAAGAATTAACTGATAAATGCACGAATTTATTGTGATAATAATATATATATATATATATATTAATGAATCAAAAACTAATATAGCCTATTTTATTGGAAATTACAATGAAGATTTTATAATGTTTGATTGATCACAGATAACATGCTAGAGAATGTTCATTAATCTTTAATGTTTATATTGGCCGTGTTGATAGTTTGTAAAATGTTGGGGACACGTGTTAGGGAGCAGTCATTCATCTTTCATAATATTTACACTTGTAATTTGATATCACTTCACCTAATCTATACAATTTAGCGATGATGAGGTCGATTCTATTGCAGGTGTTAATGGTTTGCAGGCATAAAACCAATATCAGGAGACGTGCTGTCTTGAATAATATGTAACACTTCTAGAGACGTGTGAAGTTATTTTGGACGAGTGCCTGTCAACATTCCAAATACCGTATCCTCCATCGCAGAAAAATATATAACATCGTCTGACTGAGATCTAAAATCGTCTTATGCTTGAATAGATATACTGTGACTGATGTATGGTATTTTTCAATGAAAGTTACAACATTACGTCCTTATTCTGGATTAATGCACAATTTTTGGATAAGTTTAGCTTGTTAAGACTAAAAATGGAAGTGAAAAAAACATCAAACAGATGTGATTTTGGATGACGAGTAAATAACATTCATATTTTTAACATAAATCATCTAAATATATTCTTTTTGTAAATTAATAGGCCTATATTCAAATCTATTTTAATTTTAAAATGATTTTTCTTATCTGATAAATGAAGGTGATTTTGGCATGATTAAGGAAAGCTTGTGAGCAAAAGCAATAATAAATTATCACCGTAGTTACTAGATTATGATCTTTTCTGCGGCGGCATCTTAAAAACTATAAATAGATAATTTCTGTTCGCTCACCCATCTCTTCCTGATGCTGTTTAGTCATCAGTTCTGTCCGATCATCTAACCTTTGAAGTTCTTCTTGCAATCCCCTGCAAATTTCCTCTTTGCTTCTTAATTGCTCTAAAAGATACATATTATCTTCCAATAAGCCACAATAATTATTCTCCGAAATATTGTCTGTATTGCTTTTTTGTACAGATTGTTCTTCTGTAACATCTTGATTGAAAGAGGGATTATGAGAAGATAAATCTCCTGACGAATACGATTGAACTTTTTCTGTTTCTTCTTTTTGACCAGAATAAATAGTTAAATCTGGTTCGCTGTTAGCTCGAGATAGCTGATTTCTACATTGTTTTAGGGTGGAATATTTACAAGACGGACTGGAAGAAGGCGATTGAGGATTGGCATCTGCTAAACTAGTTTCAGAACGCGAATAACCTTTTTTTAGAGGTACTCTCTCGTTATTTTGTGATTTAGATTTTAGACAGGAATCGAGTAAAGCGATGGTTGATACTTCAGGATCTAATCCTTGTTTCATCTCCCATTCGTATAGCTTTTTAGTAAAGGAATCCGAGATTCCCTCAAATCTAAATTCTCCCGCTGAAGTCTTGACAAAAACTTCTTTTTTGTTATTGCTATTAAGCATGGCTTGTTTCAGTCTTTCCAGTCTAACAGCCCTCTTTTCCCACTTTTGCTTTTCTTTGGATAATCTTTGCATTTCGCTATCAACTTTCTGTAGTTCTTTTTCTAGCCAGTTTAGATCTTTAACTCTTTGTCTTAAGGTCTTTTCTCCTCTTTCTAGTTTTTTACTCTTTCCTCTTTTATTGTCCTTGTGTTCTGATTTTAAACTAGAAGATTTCGCCTTAATTTTCTCCCACTCCTCAATTTTTTTATTGAAATCCTCGCTTAAATTTTTCTGAAGTTCTTCGACAATATTGGATACTTGTCCGGAAGAAGAATCGGCAGAATCTTTGTGCCCTGATTTATTCACTGGAAGAAATTTTAAAGTGCTAGTGATTGAACTTTTTAAAAATCGTGTTATAAAATGGAATGTAAGTCTTACTTTGTTGTTGTGTCGATATCTTCCTCTTCTTTTCCAAAGAGCCATCAGTACTGTCTTTCTTGTTCTCCAATATCTCATCTAGATTTTTGACATTTTCTAAATCTTCATCTAATATATGATCTACTTTCAAACTTCTGTAATTCTTATTCTGTTGCTGTCTTTGTTTTAAACTATCTCTTCTAGTTTGTATAATAGTTTTAACTTTTCCCCACGGAGTTTTAATTGATTTCTTCAAATCGTCTTTCTCTAGTTTTCCCAAGATATTTAAATCCTCCAAGCCATTGGCTTTCTTGTTTTGTTCTGTAATGTAAATCTTATAAATCTAAATCTTCAATAAAACAATAAAGTTTTAAATTTTTTACCTTTAGTCTTTTTTGGTTCTATTGTCTCACAAGATTTTCGTCTCGAAATTACACAATCATCTTGAAATTGCGGATCGGATAAACAAAGCGATATCCTATGGTCCTCCCAACCTGAAAGTTATTTAAATTAATAAGTATTACAAATTTAAATAATTTAAAATTTGAAAACTTACTTGGTTGCTCGGAATTATAGTTAGATCCTTCTAAGATATCTTCCGATGAGGAATTAACAGAACCCATGTACCAACTTCTGTCAGGAAGGGATCTCGCTGGACTGATATCTTTTCTTTCATCTTCTTTGTAATTGATACACAGTTCTCTACATATTTTATCATCGTAATCTCTTGAGGATCTCTTAATTGGCGCCTTTAGATCCATTTGATTCGAACGTTCAAATCCCAAAGCCTCTTTAACTTTGGACCATTTTGGAAATTTCCTTTTGCTTTTACTGTAGTTTAAATCTGTAGATTTGCTTCTTTCTCTTGCTTCTTTCTGAATTTGCGATACCGTGGCTAAAGTATGGCTTTTATAAATTTCGTTAGCATTGTGCGGTCTAACGATAGCCATGTCGTCTTTGGTCTCAGATGCTGGATAGCTTCGAAGAATTTCGTGAAGTGTTTTAACATCCTCTAAATATTGTACTCTCCTTTTTAGTTTCACATTGGAATCCTTCAGTTCGCTTAATTGTTCCATTAATTTACAGAGATTATCTAGATGATCCAAGCCCACTTTCCGACCACTTTCTACTATTTTTCCGCTATTAGATTTTTCCTGATTCGTGACGCTTTCTTCGTTTCCTCTACCCATCTTTGTAGCTTGGAGAGTCATAACATACTCTATGAATTCTTTTTCTGTTTTTAGTGCTTCTTCTATGGTAGACGTTGGCCTATTCTCCATTTTAAAACGAAATTTTTGATTGCATAATTCAGTTGCAGGCGAGGCATTCACACTAGACGAATCTGTCTGAGGAGAAGCGCACGAACTGCTAGTATTAGTAGTTCCGCTGTCTTCTTTCTTACCATAATAATCATTATTTAATTTCTTCAAGAAATCGGTTCCTCCTTCCAAGTTGTTTCGTTGATGAGAATTTACATTCTGCGCCATCGTACTGTAAAAAAATATTAGATAATAAAAATGTTAGTTGTGGTCTTTTGGAATTTTGCAATGGATGTTATTCAAAAACTTTCAACAGCAATACTCCTTTCATAGGCTTTCATAAAGCGGGAGATAGAAAACAAGGTCGTGACACCTTACACCTTATACAAGAGAAGCGCCAATTAGTACGAAGGACAGAGGAATTAGAGGATTTATCGCTAAATTTAGTGGTTTTGGAAGAGATGCAAGTGAAAATCTTTTTAAGATTATTTTTTATTGAGGGGCGAAGTAATATGATTCATTTGCTGAGGAAAGCAACTCGAATTATCGCATTTAGCTGCCATTTATCGCTAGTTTGAACAAACCTGTATAATTAAATACATTTTCGGTAACGCTTTATGCGCATCGTTATATAAGAGAACGTCTTAATTAAATTTTTCTGCTTAGGCCCAACAGTTTTCACAAATTTAAATATTTTTCCAAGCTTACAAATACTATTAATAAAATTCATTAAAATGTTTTATGTAACCTTAATTAATTGACTATTAATTTAAACACAATAAGTTTTCCAAAGGAATACTTGTAATTATTATAGACTAAGATGTATTCGTTGATTGCCCATTGTTGATTGAGCCGATGTACTGTACATTTCTATATTAATAGAAATGTACTTTTAACACGTTAAAGTTTTCATTTTGCATAATAAACACAAAAAAACAAGTAAAGTTCACCTACCTGTCCGTTTCATACTTAAAGGTAATCTACCTGCAGGTGAGTTCTTGATAGGTTAAAGCTCTTCTTGGAACGTTTTTAAAACACGAATACTGAAAAGCAACTGCCAAAATTTTCTGAGGACTGTCGAGACTGGGCGGAAACAAAGTGGAATTGTTCCAACGCGAGCGAAAATTGGCTCCTATTCATCATTGAATCTTCTAATATGGCGTTTTTTCATCATCTTACTTCTTCGTTCCCCGGATTTCGAATTCTTATGAATAAATTACATGACTAAAATTTCTAGCACACGATAAATGACTGCAGAAAATTTCGTTTCGTTAATGTTTATAAACTAATAGGGGTGTTAAAATGAAAGACAAACATTCAAATGCAGCTGTGCCGACTTCTCTTATTTGTTTTTTTCGAAATCGGAATGTGTTAAATTCGTGGAAGAAAAGAAAAAGAAAAAACAAAGCGCCATATTTTCATCGTCGGTAAAGATAACAGATTTTAAATTAAAGCACTTGTAATAAAGCCACATTTTTTTTTCTTATCAAAACTATTTTCTGAATAGTTATCTACTCGTCACGATGAGTTCGGTTATTCTTAGAGTCTGGTCTGTTTTATATAGGCTATCTGATGGCAAAGACCTTTTCTGCATTGTCTGCACATTTACACTTTTCTTCGGATAAATCAGTAATAAAACAAAAGAAAAAATAATACCAATACGTATAAATTATTAACCCCCGAACTTCGACAGATTTATTCGTTAAACTATAAAACTTCTTAATTTATTATTCTATTAAAAAAAGTTCCCTTCTTAAAGCGTATGTTTTAGAAGATAGAATCCGAAAGGGTAGTTACGTAAGCAAAAAATAGCATCGGTCTTATCTCTTCCTCTCACCTTACTCATATACTTAAATGTCATGAGTGGATCTTTCTTTAACAGAATTTTCTTATGAGATAAATAAAGGTTATAAATTGTGCGTATTGTTTATTGTGTATTTAAAATAATAAATATGTTTAAATTAGCTAAAAAATAAAAAAATACTCACGTATTTAATACTTTTAATAAGCTTACATCATTGGAGTTTAGTTGTCATGTTTACTATAACCCTTTTTTTAAGTCCAACTGTAACACAGCGAGAGTATTACCGCTGTAGAAGCATGCTGAGCGACACTACTTACTACTACTACTACTACTACTACACCTGAATCGCATCCTTAAACTATGAAGATATATTTTTAGTCGAGTTTAGGTACTCGTATATTGGGCAAATAGCCACAATATCTTGTTGACAAACTCGCCTTTCGATATATAACTGTACAAATATATATGAGTTGATATATTCGTAACGAAATTGGGTAAAAGAAGAAATTGCAATTCAGCATTCCCTCGATTAACGAAGGTAGAAACTTGTTGGTTTCATCGTAAATAAACATTTATCTATCGAAGTGGAACGTATCTTAAGTTTTTTTTTAACGTCTCGGGAATATTTGTCAGTTGAATACTTTCAACTAAGTTTTGAAAAATACAGTGTAACGAAACAGACTTGACGTAAATCTGCTAGAGGATTGACTTACGATTGAGACAAAAATTTCGATTTTCGAGAGAAATGAGATTCTTCTTCTGTTAATAGTGAGATGCAACGCAAGTAACAGTAGGCGTGAACTGTTAAACTTTTTGAATCTCTGCCAAAAAACACAATTCTTTACTTCATTCATCAAACTGGCATCACCCTCTTCTGATCGAATCATCTGTAAATTCATATATGCGAGGAACGTCCGTGCATAAAGATATACATAACTAGCGACTCTATTAATATATTGAAACTATAAATAACACGTGTAATGATATCCCACCTTTTCAAGGTTATCTTTTTTAATTGAAATGAAATAACAGCTGTAAAATAGATTCATCCTTTTTTTTTTATGTCTTTTTTTTTCTAACGTGTTTCTAATTTGTGTCGTTTAAACGCATGGGATGAGTCTATCTTTAGAATATTTCATTACACGTGTGTCTATGATATTTCTGTAATGCAAATTGTATAGTTTACGAAATCGATGAGTTTTCTTAATATTTAAGCTATAAAACTAGAACAAATTGATTTAAGGCTCTTTGAAATGTGTTGAAGAGAGAATAACGCTTTGGCATGATTCTTAGTTGCATTTTTATGAACACAAAAAAGAAAGAATATAAATATAGGTCAGGGTAGATAGGAAATAATTCACACCTCTTCCTAAATACTATTTTCGAGTTTACAGTACCCACGAGTGACACTTGTCAAGATTTATAAAATTCAACAAACCAAGGGCATCGATATCAGTATTTTAGTGTCATTTAAGAATTTATCTCATCCAAAATAACTCTTCTTCCTCCTCCTCCTCCTCCTCCTCGATTTCTAAAACGCGCTCGTTTAACATCTTCCATCGTCCTAGATTCGATTTTAACGATGTGTTTGATCTTTAATTGTGTTTTCTTTTTCCCCCCTCTAAGAAACATCTCAACTTAACGATAGATACGATACGAAGGACGAAATACTTTCTCCAAATTCGGTAATCCTAGATTAGATGTATGACTTCAATAGGAACAAACGTCAGAAGAGGAAAATGCGAAAGATACACTTTTATTGATGTATTTATAACACCAAATATCGAACAATTTCAATCAAGAAGAAAATATAAAATGGCGATTAATCGTTTTTGTGTTTGTTTAACGTAATTATCCACTTTCTAACATTAAAATAGTTCAAACAGTAATAATCACGTATACTAACGTCTACCCATCCAATCGCGGTTTATGGCCTAGCGACCGTCGAGTTGCACTTAGTCTTTGTTTGCTCGCATTTTTAGGATCTTTCGCTGGCCACAAATACAGGAAAATTAATTATGTTCCTGTCAGATAAGCATTACAAGCTCGCAAGACTCTCACTAATAATGCAACAGATCTTATATTAAGAAATTCTATGCGAGTATCTTACTGTATAAATGTGTATTGTAATATATAATAAATTCGTGTTAACAATGATTTTAACTTATGCTAATGATTCTTATTATATACTATTTACAATTGATGCATAACTGGAGTCAGTATATTTAACAGTTAGTACGGTCGATACGATTATAACGAGTTAATATATTCTAATTACATTAGTACCGTACAGTTAACGAACTTGTTAATGTAACTGTAAACTGTATTCCTATTATTCCATTGTTGTAAGTTAACATAGGCTCAGCATCTACATATATAAAGACTGTCTTACTTAACATTATTATTACTCGCTGGCATCAATTAGTTTATATATACGTCGAATAATTAATAATATTAAATGTTAATGGCAGCATAGGTATAATTGTTAATGCCCGTGTACAATTATGAATTATAATATTGTAATTTTAGTCTATGTTAATGGTAATATAAACTAATTTCTAACGTATAACGATAACTTCTTAATGCGAATACGTGTAATATCTTAGTGTATATTCCGTTAATTTGACATTTATTCATTATGAAAATTAACTGTATTATGATAATGACTAAATTTGTTTATAATCTAGCTACTTCGCTAGTCAACTAATTATATATATATGTATATATAGAGAGTTAAGTCGGAGTAGTAATTTACGAATGTACAAGACGGTAGCAAGTAAATATTGGTCAACAATGCAGAAATTTGCGGTGTCTCCAAGGACGGAGGACCTTTCTGGAAAATTAATTAAATTTATGAAAGTTTAAATGCATTTGATGTTATAGGGTATTCGGTACCTCGGGGAACCCAAACGACCGAGACAAAGTAGAACGGCATCACAATATTAGAAACATATTTATTGTCCTTTGTGGCCTGTGGGAGTGTTTTGCCTTATTAGCCGCACCGCAGATGAATTTCTGACCGTTTGAACTGCTTAATAAGTTTTAATTACGTTCCGGTAATAAGTAAAAATTAAGTATAATTAAACGCTAATCGATTAATGTAACGGAAGTAACGAAAAATCGACACAGTTCTTTTTTGTTATTAGTTCGCATCGAAACCATCAGATGGTGCCACTGTTGTTAAACGACACAGGAAAAACAATTATTTTCGACACGCCATCTGTCGGGATAGCTTGTTACTGTTTTTTTTTTTTAATAATGAAATTATAAATTTAAACGGGTATAATATATATGTATATTAGATGGATTTTTATTTATTAAATTCGCAGATGAGTGTAAAAAATATATATATATAAATTATGAATTTTTAGATTGGATTAAAAAGAAATTCCGATTAAAAAATATATTTATTACTAAAGAAAAAATAAAATAAAAATTAATTACTTAGATTGAAGAAGTAAGCATCTTCAGGTCGCTGCTAATAGGATTTGCTGTTTTTCTCTCGAAAGCAAGAAGATTAAAAAGAAAAAAAAAAAAACCTCTTTACTACTTCAGCATGAATATCTTAATATTTGCTCGCCGGTTAATAAAATTTTAATACTTTTCCATTTAGTTTTCTTTCGATTTTTCAAATTTTGTTATCTATTTAGTTTTATAAATTCAATATTTTTCTTCTAAATTGATTTAGTAACATAAATTAGTTTTCTATTTAGTGCTTTTATAACTTAATTTTTAATCGATTTATACAGTCAAACCTGCGAACAACGTCCACTGACAGATGGACGTTGTTCAGAGGTTTGTCCTGTATTTATATACAGTAGACACCCCCTATAACACTGTAGATAATTCCGTGTTATATAAATTCCATGTTGTACGAGTCACTTAAATTTTACAAATACGTGAGCCGTTCACAGCCCGGCACACGTATTTGTAAAAATTCTAAGTGACTCGTACAACATGGAATTCATATAACACGGAATTATCTACTGTGTTATAGGGTGATCTACTGTATTAAGTTTAAAGAGATCGAACGAATTATTATTATTATATTTTCGTACCATTTAGATATGCGAGTAGCGTTGTATTTGATAAAATTAGGAATAAGTGAGATGCATTTTACAAGTTTTTATGAAGGTGTAAAGTTAAGACGATGAGGAGACATTAGACGATGGTAAAGGAATTTTTTAATAAATTTATGAGTGAAAGAAGTGATTATTAATATTTAGATATTAGTTTAGAAGTGGATAAAGTTTGTTCGATGCTTTTCGATTGCATGTGGCAGAACTCATCGATTTTCTCCCCTGCTTCAATTTGAAAATCACTGTTGGAGGATTCAATTAACGAACATCGCTTTAACTTTAATCCCTAACAGCAAATAGTCTTAATAACATTTTCTTGTAACTGAAATGTTCGACAAACAAATAGTTTTTCGTGGTTTTCATCTCGAAATACAATCTTCCTTTACACTTTGCTCTTCCAATCGTTGGTTACAATTGCTCCACAATAGATTCTTTTTTCTTTCCCAAATCGTCTCTTCTCTCTTCTGTTTAAAAATATTAATTTAAGAAAATATAAATTACGAAGAGTAAAAAGAAAAAAAAAACTTATTTTTTTTAAAATGTCCCGAGCAATAATTAAAGGATTAAAAGTAGTCGAAGTAATTAAATAAAAACTCGATAAATTCGAAACAAAAAATTTTTTCGCCTAGTTTTGCGCTGTTTTTGAACGATTAATTATAATGAAAGATCAACTTCGATTAGTTAAATGATATTTAAGTGGAAAAAACACAAAAAAAATTAAGGATTAAAAAAAATATATATATATATTAAGAGGTAATTATGACTAATTTGGTTAGTGAAATATCCCCGGGAAGATGAATGATTATATGTAATTACAATTAAAGCGTTTAAAGGATGATTTTTTTTTGTGTTTGNTAAAATGGCGATTAATCGTTTTTGTGTTTGTTTACGCGTTAGACACGGTGCAAAGTTGAAAAAGATGGCGAGTTTCTTTTCGTTAAACACAAAGCGATGTTTACAATACAACTTTCTCCGAATGCTATCCATATTGTTGACATACTCGTAGGTAGAATCTAAAAAAGCCCAAACTCTATACATTTATATATTCGCTGTCTGGGCGTGTATTTTTGATATATGACTGTTCAAAACGTTCCAGTTGTGCTCTTCTCTCTCGGTGCAGTTTCTTTCTCGTACAGCATCGAAGATTTTTCAACTAAGAAAACAAAAAATAAAGAAATAAATAAATAAAAAATAATAAAAGTATATAATATATAGTTTCAAAGAACTAAACTGAAAAATGCTTTCATTAAATAAATAAAAATTGTATATGAAAATTTATTAATGTTATAAATTTTGCTAAGTAATGAATAAGCATGTTTTTTTTTTCCTCCCCTCTTCTTCTTCTTCTTCTTCTTCTTCTTCTAGTAACAGTTTATCTTCGGTGATGTATAGATATAAAAAAAATGCCTGCAGATAAA